AAACGCCAAAAATCCATCTTCGCCAATTCAAGCCTAAAGCTACTTCGGACCTCCAAAACACATTCCAATCACACTCCTAAGTCCCAAATCACCTCCCGAAGCTATACAAACCATCAGAATTCACATCCGAGCCCTTTTTCACATAAGTCAACATCCGGTTGACTTTTCCAACTTAAGCTTACTCAAAAGAGACTAAGTGTCTCAAACCTTACCAAAACCTCTCCGAACCCGAGTCAACTAACCCGATAGCACATAATACAACTAAACAAGACAATAAGAAGCAGGAATGGGAGAAACGGAGCGGTAACACATGAAACGACCGGCCGGGTCGTTATAATATATATATATATATATATACACATATATATATATATATATTATATGGATATATGGATTCATTTGGTTCTTTTTATTCTTGCTCGAGCTGGATGATTAAAAATTATCATGTCTAGTTCCCTCGGGGGATGGATCTATAAGAATTCACCTATCCCAATAACAAAAAAAACCTGACTTGAATGATCCTGTATTAAGAGCTAAATTGGCTAAAGGTATGGGTCATAATTATTATGGAGAGCCCGCATGGCCAACGATCTTTTATATATTTTTCCAGTAGTAATTCTAGGTACTATTTCATGTAATGTAGGCTTAGCCATTTTAGAACCATCAATGATTGGTGAACTGGTAGATCCATTTGCAACCCCTTTGGAAATATTACTGTAACGATCCGGCCGGTCGTTTTGAATAATACAATCCCGTTTCCTCATTTACTGCTAAATTAATGCTTTACAGTTACTATGTGACTTGCCAGGGTAATTAGTTCAGATCCGGTGAGGTTTTGAAATGAATCGAGACACTTAGTCTCCAAGAAGAAAGCTTAAGTTGAATAATTTGACCGTAAGGTGAAATACGTGTAAACAACCCCGGAATGAATTTTTGATGATTTCAATAGCTCAGTATGGTGATTTCGAGTTTAGGGGTGTGTTCGGATATTTATTTCGAGGTCCGTAGCTAAATTAGGCTTGAAATGGCGAAAATAAGAAATTTAAGTTTGGAAGTTTGACCGGGGAGTTGAGTTTTTGATATCAGGGTCAGAATCCAGTTCTGACAATTTTCCTAGCTCCGTTATGTCATTTATGACTTGTGTGCAAAATTTAAGGTCAATCGGACTTGATTTGATAGGTTTCGGCATCGAATATAGAAGTTGGAAGTTCTTAGTTTCATTAAGCTTGAATTGGGGTGTGATTCGCGGCTTTAGCGTTGTTTGATGTGATTTGAAGTACAGACCAAGTCCGTATCATGTTTTAGGACTTGTTGGTATATTTGGTTGGGGTCCCGGGGGACTCGGGTGTGTTTCGGATCATTTTGGGCTACTTTGGAAGATGACTTTCTAATATCTAGTGTTGTTTTTCGCGTTCACGAGTAGCCTCTCGCGTTCGTGAAGAAGAATTTTGCTTCTAGAAGTTTGTTCTTCGCGTTCTCGAAGAGACTCTCGCGTTCTCGAAGAAGGAAATCTCGGCTGCACAGGTTTGACTTCGGAGGCTCATATCTCACAATAAATAAGGAATTTGGAGATGATCTAAAAATGAAAGTTGTAACCCTTTGTGTCTAGATTTTAGAAATTTAAACTAATAGGAATTTAGATTTGTGTACAAAAAGTTATGGTAGTTACACTACAGGCTGTCCGGGGAGAGTTCGAAAATCTCTGCTGCACAGGGTTGACTTTAGAAGCTTATGTCTCGCAATATATAATGACTCAGGAAATGAGCAACCTATGAAACTATAGCCCTTGGTGTCTAGTTTTCAAAACATCAAACCATTTGTCATTTGGAGTTGTGGGCAACACGTTATGACCATTATACTAAAGGCTGTATGGAATGAGTTTGGATATCGCTGATGAGGAATTTGTTCATCGCGAACGCGAGGGAAGGGTCGCGAATGCGAAGAACAAACCCCTGGGCAGCAGAATAAAGTCCAAATTTGTCCCATTCTTCCATTATTGGACCAAGGAAGCTCGGGTGGGGTGATTTTTCAAGGGATTTTCAGAGAAAACAATGGGGTAAGTGTTCTTAACTCAATTTTGGTTAGATTACCCGAATCTATTACTAATTTTAGCATTTAATCTGTGATTTAAGTTGGAAAAGTTTGAAAACCCTCTTGGACATATTTGAGGATTTGGGGGTCGAATTGTTATTGAAATTTAGTAATTTTTGTATGGTTAGACTCGTGATTGGATGGGCTTTCATATTCCGTGACTTTCGTCGGATTCCGAGACGTGGCCACATGGGTGAATTTTGAGTTAATTTCGGATTTTTATTGAAAAATGTAGCATTTAATTATGAAATTGATTCTATGAATTTTGTTGATTCTATCGAATTATTTTGGCTAGATTCGAGCCATTCAGAATTGGATAATCAAGGAAAAAGGCCTACTAGTGGATTAAATTTGGAGCAAGTCGAGGTAAGTATCTTTCCTAACCTTGTGTGGGGGACTTTTCCTTAGGATTTGAGTCTTCTATGTTGATTGTAGTTCTGGTACGCGAGGTGACGAGTGCGTACTCGGACTTATTTGGAGGAAATTGGCCTTTTAGGGTTCTTAGGTCCTTATATTCACTATGTATGAAGTTATTCTTGGTATGATTGAGTTCCTGCTTATCGGTTTCGCCTCTACATGCTTAACTGGAATTAATTGTTTCATGATTCACCCTTATTGCCTAATTGACATCCTATTTGATTTAACTGAAGAATTTCGCCTCTCCTATTGTCATGCTATCTTTTCGTAGCTGCTTGTCTTATTGAGAATTTATCATTATCCCTTCTGAAATTGTTCAGTCTTAAGTGAAGCTAAGATCATCTTTCCTTAATTGAATTGTCGAATATCCTCGTAATTGTCCAACCTTAAAAGGAGTTAGATAGCCTATATCTTTGTTGACTTGCCTTTATTTGGGATTACTTGACTCGTATTGATTTCCTTGTTATTGACTTGTATATTGTGGGATCGTTGCTACATGTTAGATTTCCCTTTTGTTGAACTGTTCTCTTTATGCCAACATTCTTTTCAGTGGTTATCCCATGTGAGATGGTCCTACCGTTTCTTCGTGATTTACAGTTCTTGAGTTGACTTACTTGTCGTACTTTGTATTATTGTCATTGTTGTCATTGTGTATTTACTTTGGGAATAAGGATCAGTATTCCGGGAGATCACCCTGCACCTTTATATTTGGGACTACGGGACGATATCCCCGGAGATCCCCCATGTACTGGATATTTGCTTTGGGACTACGGATCGGTATTCCGGGAGATCCCCCTACACCTTTATATTTGGGACTACGGGACGATATCTTGGGAGATCCCCCTGTACTGGATATTTACTTTGGGACTACGGATCGATATTTCGGGAGATCCCCCTACACCTTTATATTTGAGACTACGGGACGATATCCCGGGACATCCCCCTGTACTGGATATTTACTTTGGGACTACGAATCGGTATTCCGGGAGATTCCCCTGCATATTTACGATTTGGACTACGGGACGATATCCCGGGAGATCCTCTGCACATTTATGTTTGGGACTATGGGACGTTATCCTAGGAGATCCCCTGTTGTTATCTTTGTGCTTTTAGCTGTTGTTTTCATTGATCCTATCCCTGTGTAAACAGTATATGTGCTGTCCGTTTTTGTCCTTATGCTTACTAGCTGGTATGAACTATGATAGGATACTTGCACAAGCATACACGTGGCTAAGCACCCTTATCGGATAGGAGGCTCCTTGAGATTTCCGAGTATAGACGCACACCCTTGTTGTTTGCCTTCCATATGAGAATGACTCTTTTGGGCACTTGAGTTGTCAGTATGATTAGGAGGTGTGATGAGGGAACAGGATGCCAAGTGTTAGTGTTTAGGCATTGAGACCCATATTGTATGATTATGAGATGAGGTGTCATAGAGTGACTGATATGCGAGGTTATCTATTTGAAAAGATTTATTCGAAAAGCATTTATTTTGAAAGAACTCTTTTTGAAAAGAACATTTATTTGAATGAAGTATATTTCGAAAAAATTTAATCACTTAAAAGGTTTGACTATTTGATTGACGTTTGCTAGTTAAGACTTAAGGTGAAAACTATTGGAGTTGTTGAGTTATGACTTGTCTTTACTGTATTTGTGATTTTCGATTTGGTTTGTATTCTCGCTTACCTTTCCGTGTTTTCCTTATGGTGTTCCGCCGAGTACTTGTTATTTTCTTTCCTTATTTTTAGTTACTGTATTATTAGCCGTATCGCGTAGTCTCCATATAAATATCATGTTCTGTATATTAGACCAGTAGGTGTCTTGACTGTTCCTCGTCACTACTCCACCGAGGTTAGTCTTGATACTTACTGGGCACCGCTGTGGTGTGCTCATACTACACTTCTGCATATTTTTTTGTACAGATCCAGGTATTGTTCGCTAGTAGCTGTGCGGATTCTTGTCGAGGAGACTCATGGTAGCCCTATTGCTGCTTTTGCAGGCTTCGGAGTCAACTTCCTATTTTATATTCACACTGTTGAACTTATTTCCATACGGTTGTGTTTAGTAGTTGTAGCGAAACTCTGTAGAGCTTATGACTTGTACTACCGGATTTTGAGAATTATAAATTTTGTAGAGATTTTTGCTTCAAGATTGATAAATTTCTTTTATTATTGTGGTATTTCAGCATGAGTTAGGCTTACCTAGTCCCTAAGACTAGGTGCCATCACGATACCCAAACGGAGGGAAAGTTGGGTCGTGACAAGTTAGTATCAGAGCTCTAGGTTCATAGGTGCTACGAGTCATAAGCGAGTTTAGTAAAGTCTTGCGGATCGGTACGAAGACGTCAATACTTATCTTCGAGAGGCTACGAAACTATTAGGACAATCTCACTTCTTTCATTCCTATCGTGCGAGCTTATTGATCTCGGAGTTTGAACTTTTATCATTCCATTCTCTCACCGACGGTGAGGACACGAGCTGCAGTTATCGACGATGCTGCTCCCGGAGCAGGTGTTGCTAGAGGTAGAGGTAGAGGCCGATGAGGAGTACGTGCCACAGCTAGACCACACTCCAGAGCAGCGAGTTCACGTTGGTCAGGTTCCAGGTGTCAGGGCGACAAAGCCTGTGGTCCCGGTTCAGCTCATAGTTAGGGCAGCAGCATTTGAGGAAGGGCAATTTAGATTTGCAAGGTTCAAGGACTATGACCCTCCCGCATTTAGTGGTTGGGCTTCAGAGAGAGCACGGGGTTTGTTGAGGAGTGCCATCGCATTCTCCGTACTATGGATATTGTTGAGACGAGTGGGGTTGTTATTACTACGTTCCAGCTTAAGGGAGCGACTTATTAGTGGTGGAGGGCATATGAGTTGGGTAGCCAGCCGATGCAGCTTCACTTACATGGGTTCCATTTTCAGAGATGTTTTGAGAGAGTTTGTACTTCAATCACTTCGGGATGCATGGCGCGCGGAGTTTGAGCAGCCGCGTCAGGGCACCGTGTCAGTAATAGATTATGTCATCAGATTCAGCGATTTGGACAGACATGCACCTGCCTTGGTCGCTACAATTAGAGAGCGAGTCCGTGGATTCATTGAGGGGCTCAACCATGATATTTGGTTCAGCATGGCTCAAGAGTTGGAGTCAGATGTTTTGCTTCAGTAGGTGGTAGGGATCGCTCGCTAGTTAGAGGGCATGTGGGACTGGGAGCGAGAGGACAGACGAGATCAGGAGAGAGAGAGTACGGGGAGGTGAGGAGGCCTCGTAGACCAGAGAGATCTGCTAGCCCTTATTTTGGAGGCAGAGTGTGACATGGTGGAGGTTTCGTGGGTCAGCCAGTTCAGTTTGCGCTTCAGGCTTCACACAATGATTCAGGTGTTCATGGGTCTCAGAGTACCCATACCGCACAGTTCCCACAGCCATGTCAGTAGAGGGGTTGCTTTGAGTGTGGAGATACTAGCCACATGGTGAGAGATTTCCCCAGATTTCGGGCAGATGTGTCACAGCAAGGTATTCAGGTGAGTAGAGGGCGCCCAAGAGGGGGAGGCTCGGCCGTTGATGTGTTTCATATAGTAGGCTTAAGGCCGTTGCACCAGATGATGTCATTCAGGTATGATTTTGATTTGCTATAGAGGAGCACCATCCGTAGTTCATTACAGTTCTGCTTATAAGGGTGAGTTCCCCTATTTGTTGCTCCACTGATGGGTGCGTTTCATGATTTGCACTCTATCTATATGTTACCCTGTTGGGAGGTTCTATGAGTGATAGTCGTGTCTATCGTCAGTTTTTATTCATTATCGAGAGTTATGAGACTAGTAGTAAATTCCTATTGTCCATTTCGGTAGGCTTGATGTGATTTCTAAGTATTTTTGGCTACGAGCTGTGATTTTTATGCTCCACCAGTATGGGAGCCAGTACTTGTTGTAATTTATGACGGAAATTGGTCCAGTGAAAGTTTCTAGCTAGTTTGATATATATCCTACTTGTGATTCAGAGTTGATGGTAAGACCCTCGTGATTTCATGTGATTTGATGTATTTGAACCGGGCTGTGTACCGTGGTGGAAGTTATACCAGTATGAGATCCTTGTGAATTGTTCATATGCTTTAATTCTTTTCTTGTTATGTTTTTTTGTAGGTTGGTACTGATAGAGAGTTGTGCCTGTCGGGCTTGTTTGATAGTTCTCCTATGTGTTTCTCTTTTCATATTCAGTCATTTTCGTTTTGTGCTTCTTTAGTTAAAGCTTGCGGGGTGTGTGCCCGTTAGTGTTAGTTGTGACTTGTAGATTCGGGTGTTTGGTTATGAGGCTTTCGTGTTTCTTGCATCATTGTCAGTGTTATGGAGGTTTGAAACAAAGTCCTATTAGATATGAGGCTAGTGGCCGGTGCAAGATTTGATTTCTGACAGGTATTGTGATCAGGAATGTTATTATAGGCCTATGTGTGGTGTGTATGTTGTGTTGTCGTACTATGTGGTTGTAGGCATAGTGGTTGCAGCTAGTTGAGACTGATACCGAATATGAATTTAGAATCGGGTCACTTAGAAATGAATAGAAGGTGAGAATGTTGGCTCTAAGGCTTATTGGTATTGGAAGAAAAGCTAAATTTCAGTTGAGAGGGTGTCGTCAAGCTTATGTGGATTGGGGTGACGTGGGATCACCCGCGGGTGTATGTTGGAAGTGTGCATTCAGTAATTTGAGTACTTCGAGGCGAATCTTGGCACGTTCGAGGACGAACGTTTGTTTTAGAGGGGGAGGATGTAACGATCCGGTAGGTCGTTTTGAATAATACAATCCTGTTTCCCCATTTACTGCTAAATTCATGCTTTACAATTATTATGTGACTTGCCTGAGTAATTGGTTTGGGTCCGGTGAGGTTTTGAAATGAATCGAGACACTTAGTCTCCAAGAAGAAAGCTTAAGTTGAATAATTTGACCGGAAGGTGAAATATGTGTAAACGACCCCGGAATGAATTTTTGATGATTTCAATAGCTCCGTATGGTG